AAATATATTGGCACATATCAACATCATTTAACATAACTACAACCCACTTTTACTAATGAAGTCCATCGCTGCAGCCATATCATGTCTACACTTCCCGTATCTCTTCTTGCAGGTACTGTCCTCTTCTGATTCTCCAAGCCAAACATTCCTCAGTGCAGGTGCAGCTCCGAACCAATTTCGCGCAAGGCCCGTTTTAATTTTTGAGAACAGGTCAGCAGCATTGGCCCTTTTAGTGGTTTTGCTCGTCAGGTTACTACGCAGCTGGTTGTATCAATCTTTACGAATAAATTTCTCCAACTGGAGATAAGTGGGGCCCACCCTTTGTTTCTTTTTACATCAAGCCTTCCCATGGACCACTTCAGCTCCAAAACTGCGCCAGAGTGACACCAAAGAGGTGGCCTTGGCAGCGGGCTGTTGGAACCCGCCATGCCAAGCCCGCAGCTCCCCAGAGACGGCTAAATTCCCAGATGGATTAACACTATACCATATTATACCCATCCAATGAGCTTAACCCATCTTTAACCCTGCAAAATCGTCAAACAATATTTGTCATGTTGTGCCGTTTGCCCCAATTAAAAAGGACTCTATATACAATATTACACAATAATCAAACAAGAAGGTAGATCGCTAGTAAGATAGATGAGCTACAGTGATGGGGTATGCCAGCAGCATGCGGAATTGCCAAGCACAGTGAAATAACCTTGATTTCCGAGTTCGTTCCCCACTGTGCCTGTTCTATGCTGCTGGCATGTGGGAAAATTGGTTACACAGACTGATCTCACCAAAAATGACAATTCCTTGATTTTTAAATATCTCTTGTCCCAAAGATATCTAAAGAAGTGTAATTGCTGACCCTCACAAAGATTATTTCCTATCGAGGCCGTCGGGGTTTCACTACGCCATGTTTGTTTGAAACAGAGTAAATGCTCATACTGGTAGTTGAGTTTCTTCCCGATTTGTTCGCAGTCTGCGTTGTTAGTCATCTTCCCACAGTATGTGTTTCACCATCAACAAAGTAGCGATGAGTCAAAGTTGTATACCCCAAATCACTACATAGTCTGCTATCAAACAAAAACCAAAATGTGGCTGGCAGGGCTGGCAGGGCTGGCAGGGCTTAAATGTTGTCACCACGTCCATTTGTTAATAGGTTACATCAGGCCATTTCTCAGAAGCGTTGATCTAATACTAGCTATCCAAATTACTGAGATGATCTCTGAAGATTGTGAGATTTAATTTAATATGGTTTAATATGTTTTAGTATGATTTAATGAATGCTAGACCCATGCCCTGGTTCATAATCAGCCATGGCACCGCCACATCCTCCAAGCTCACTTGCTCCAGGTACCGCGCGCCAGCCATCGGCGCAGCGGATCGGCTTCGAAGAATATCAGGTGTGAAATGGTGAAATGGAAGTAAAAAACGTAAAAATACGTTTCAAACATGTTTCACACATGTCGACCTTGGTATCTTAGCGAGCATCCCTAAAATAACGCGCACACTGGACGATGTTGATCTACGTTTTTTTGCGGTGCTTCGGTTTAGCTCATATTCGATTCAACGGGAAATCACTTGGTTCCCGAAGAGGAATGAATCACAGAATTATCTTGTCAGTTGACTGAGCCTCCCCAAATTCAATCTTCCTTGAAAAACTCTCCAGCCGTTTATCTCTATTGACTATTTCCACAAGTCAGCGAACCATGTAACACAGCACTGGAATCTCTTGACAGAATCTGTTGACCTTCTAAACACCAATCTGGGATATGGCTTAAAACTTTGTCGGAGACTTGAAGAGGTTGGAAATTGCTCCGCAGAATTTAGAATCAGCAGCCAGCTTTACCTCAGCAATTCTTCCTGTCTGATCCTTTCTGGATGTATCCTTTGTTGCTTTTAAAAGCATTTCTTTGTTGCTGCTCATAGTCTCAACGAAATCGATGGCGAGCGGTAAGGCCACACACCCTCTCAAGAAGCAGACAGCATCAGGGTGGATTCAATCCATGGGGCAGGCCATCTGGAGACATTCAATCTGAATCAATCATTGTATATAACCTTGCAGCAACCCTAACCCAAATAGTAAGCAAACGAACCATATCTCAAAACATTGGGGTTTCATACATATTCAAAATTCACAAGACAAGAATAGGTTTATCGGTTTACTGCATTGGCTGGTAAACTGAATATAGCAGAGGTAGCTGGCACAGCCTAATGCCAAAATCAGGACCCCAGTATTTCAGTCTAATATTCAAATTAACAGGGTTGAACTGCAAAATTAGACAGCACACCGGCGATGGCACCTTGGTATAGTGAATTGTTTATCATAACAACCAAAATAATGCCCTTTGTTGACCTTGCAAGCCCATTGTGAGGCCTGGCGGCCCAACCCCAGGGTTCAGTATGAAGGCGTTGGAACCCCTAATCCCTTCCTACCACCGTGCAAGGAACTATGCGGAATTTACGATTTCTGGGAAATGTTTATACCACTGGATTTGCCAGGTCGCCCCAAAAAAAGGCTAGTACCTACCAAAAATGGAGCTCCACAAAAGGTTCTGGCCTCAAATAAAATAAAGGAAAGCATCTTGGCTTTACCCGATGTGTTGGCGGAGCTATAGATGGCACAAAGGGCCCTATTTTCAGCTATTGCCCAAACCGCACAGGTCAAGAGTTCCTGCCATTCATTTTCAAGTACATATCTATACGTATATATAATTATATATATATATATGTATATACCGTATAGGTATAATATATATATATACAAACATATACATATATGTATACAGAAAAAACCCTTGTAAATATATGAATATATATATATATATATGCCTGCGGACCGAAAACCGTTCCCGTAAAACGCACGTTTTTGAATATCGCGATTGTGGGGTGGGGTGGGGTGGGGGGGCATGTTAACGTTCCTTGTACTTCGTACATGATATATTGCCATGCTGCTAAGATCTCTGGGATTATTTACTACGTTACATGTTGCTACGCTGCTGAGATCTCTGGTATCGTTTACTACGTTACATACATGTTGCTACGCTGCTGAGATCTCTGGGATCGTGTACTACACGATAACGTTACTCATCTACCTTAACCCTCCCCTACGTCTCCCTCTCCACTACTCATACTTTAAACTACACTTTCTCTTACACCTTACTCCTCTACCTTTTACGTTTACAAGTTCTACTATGTGGAATCTGATGAAAAAGTCCATTCCCAGCAACTTGAGTGCCAAAAGTGACCTCTTGATGGTGTATGCTAGAGCTTGGCAATGGAGATGCATTCACAAGAATGCTGACTGCCAGCTGATAACGGTGCATGCGTTGCAGCGATGACGCTGAAAAGCCAAAAAACGCGCCCCACGTTTTTCCAGGATTTCCAATCATCAAATCAGCACGGCACTGTGGTAAAATCACTATTTTTTTAAAAAACGTGCGTTTTATGGGCACGGTTTCCGGTCCGGCGGGATATATATGTATGTGTGTGTCTAATGGAGAGCCTAAACAGTTCCTTCCAATCAAAAAACTAGACATGGACAAAAATCCAACCTGACATAAGCACTCATATGATTTAGGAATGGTGAATTCTCCGTTGCCAGGTTGGTTTGCCAAAGGGTAAGAGTCACCCAACATCATGGATGTCACCAAACTGGCCTGAAGTTGTCGTTCGAACTCCTTGGAATCGGCGCAGGGGCACACCCAGCATCTCAGGAAAATCTAGGTGATTGAAGGTCACAACATGTTGCTTATTTTCATGATGTTTCACTAAATGGTTAGACAATATAATTTCAGAGCTTCAAGTGTCCAGGCTTCCTGACCTGGCCATGTCAATACCTAGCAGATCTTGCTTGGCAGATCCCCTATGACTTGTTGACCAGCAACCAAAAGGGTCAATTGCCTAAACCAGTCTGCGAAACCCATCCTCCTCACCAAAAGACTTTATAAATCCTTATCATGTAAACACATCAAAACGAACGCATCCACCATGAAACCGTGGTGCTTGTCAGGGGGAAGTGGGTGCTGCTCACCCAGGCGCAACGGTTCACCCTCTACTGCCCTGCCGAGCTCCTTTGGCTCTTCTTCCACACGCTTGGCTTGTCGCGAATGTAAAGCTTCCAGCTGCCCCTCGCCGCGGTATGGCAAAGGCAGACTGGTGTGGGCCCTAGTGGCAAGCACACACACACACACACATATATATATATATACACTGTAAATATATATATATATATATAACCATCCTGAAGTAGATAGAACCTCTGGAATTTCAAAAAAAAAGGGTCCGAAAAAAACCTATAGATAGAATCCCAAAATGGCTCAAAAATCCGGGTCGATGATTGGAAAAAAAACGGTCCCTCTAAAATGATCACAACAGCCGTCATTTAGCTTGTGATTTGGTTGTTTGGGCCTTTGGAATGACCACCAAATGTTGTTATTATGCTGGTGTATTAGGTTCTGGCCTGCGAATTTCAGCCCAAAATCTTCCAAAGAAATTATCACAACCCCAAAATTTGCACTGTTGCTGTTGGTTACCAGAAATATAGATCCTTTGGCAATGGTATTTAGTAGTCAAACCCAATAAAGGAATGGGTGCGGGTCAAATTATCACGCCCCCAAAATTGATAGTTCATAATTCAAATGGTGCAATTTTGCAATTGAGCTGGGGCCAAATTTGACCTGTACCCATTTAGCTACAGTGTGCTCACCGGACCTCCTGGAGATTTGAATTTGGACATCGATCAAAACCAGATACTTTAAAAAGTAATCTGTATAGAATTGGGTGTAATTGGGACAGAAGGTTTTGATCCATTCCCATATTCTTCTATATTCTTTCATATTCTATCTATGGTATCAACCACTGTGCTGGCCCTTCCCTACTGCATTCTGCTAACAACGGCAGGTTTCCAAAAACCATTTCAGGTGTTGTAGAATCTTTGGCAATGGTATTTTTTGTTCCCGGGATATACCCAAGTAGCAAAACCCAATAAAGGAATGAGTGTGGAAGAAAAGCTGTGCAAAAGAAGGAATCCACGATCTTACCGTTTAAAGTTCAGTCTGGCAGGTTTTTGAATAGAAAGCTGAAAGGAAAAGGAGATGAGAAACGTATAGATAAGTAGGAATCCAAGATCGACCATCCAAAGTTCATTTTTGCTAGTGCCGTGCTAGGACAGTTGGGCAAAACTATAGATAGAATATCCTCTAGAAGCATGAAAAGACTGAATTTATAAAGGATGCTTGAAATTAAGCATGTATTTGTGGTGCTCCCTGCCCCTTCCTCCACATCTACCCATCCCCAAGTTCATTCTCGGAGCTGTTTGAAAGCAAACTTTAAAAGGAAAATGGCATTAGAAAAGTAGGAATGCAAGATCTTACCATCCAAAGTTGAAATTGCAGGTTTTTGAAAAGAAGCATCGAAAGGAAAATGGGATGAGAAAAGAAGGAATCCACGATCTTACCATTTAAAGTTCAGTCTTGCAGGTTTTTGAATAGAAAGCTGTGAAAGGAAAAGGAGATAAGAAAAGTATAGAAAAGTAGGAATCCAAGATCGACCATCCAAAGTTCATTTTTGCTAGTGCCGTGCTAGGACAGTTGGGCAAAACTGTAGATAGAATATCCTCTAGAACCATGAAAAGACTGAATTTTTAAAGGATGCTTGGAGTTGAGCATGTATTTGTGGTGTTCCCTGCCCCTTCCTCCACATCTACCCATCCAAAGTTCATTCTTGGAGCCGTTTGAAAGCAAACTTTAAGAGGAAGATGGCATTAGAAAAGTAGGAATGAAAGATGTTACCATCCAAAGTTGAAATTGCAGGTTTTTGAAAAGAAGCAACAAAAGGATAATGGGATGAGAAAAGAAGGAATCCACGATCTTACCATTTAAAGTTCAGTCTGGCAGGTTTTTGAATAGAAAGCTGAAAGGAAAAGGAGATGAGAAACGTATAGATAAGTAGGAATCCAAGATCGACCATCCAAAGTTCATTTTTGCTAGTGCCGTGCTAGGACGGTATAGAAAAGTAGGAATCCAAGATCGACCATGCAAAGTTCATTTTTTGCTAGTGCCGTGCTAGGACAGTTGGGCAAAACTGTAGATAGAATATCCTCTAGAACCGTGAAAAGACTGCATTTTTAAAGGATGCTTGGAATTAAGCATGTATTTGTGGTGCTCCCTGCCCCTTCCTCCACATCTACCCATCCAAAGTTCATTCTTGGAGCCGTTTGAAAGCAAACTTTACAAGGAAAATGGCAGTAGAAAAGTAGGAGGAATGCAAGATCTTACCATCCAAAGTTGAAATTGCAGGTTTTTGAAAAGAAGCAACAAAAGGATAATGGGATGAGAAAAGAAGGAATCAACGATCTTACCATTTAAAGTTCAGTCTTGCAGGTTTTTGAATAGAAAGCTGTGAAAGGA